TACTACTAGGAACAAGGTTCGCTACTAGGAGCAAAGGGCATCGCTACTAGGAGCAAGGACGCTACTAGGGGCTCCTGGCCTTACTACTAGGAATAAGAAGCTACTAGGAGCAAAGGGCATCGCTACTAGGAGCAAGGGTGCTACTAGGGCTCCTGGCCTTACTACTAGGAACAAGAAGCTACTAGGAGCAAGAGATGAGATGAACGGCTTTCGGATACCAAAGTGATGGACGCGGAATTCCTCCGCCTCTTGGACATCCAAAAATGGAGGGCAGGGCAGTTGCCTAAGTGACAAGCAACATCAATTGCACCGGCCTGCCAGAGGCCATTGGCCTTGCTGGCATGCTGGAAGGGTGGCGTCGCCTCCAAGATTTCAAAGGCCTCGACATGGGAAGCACAAGCCCAGGTCAAATGAGGCCCACGCCTGCTCCACATGAGTTGTAGGTTGGGCCTGTAGACAAGAATGTGGGCGCTTGGAGAGGCCTTTATTTGTGATCCAAAAGCGCAGCTCACCCCAACTAAGAGGACCAGCTGCTCACTGGAGGAGGCGTCGTCTCTTTGCCACTCTGGCAAAGTCAGCACAAGAGTTTAGAGGTTGGAGTCCTTCCTGGTCCGCTTGTTCAGGCTTACATCTGCCCAAACAACCTCTGGTAAGGTGGGAGAGCCTTATCATCAGCTATGCCCGACCGCTTCAAAACAATACATGAGGACAATCCACTGACCTTGTTGATATTCCCCAAAGGCTGTTGAATTTTTCCAATTTTGTTTGGGGAGGCTAGTGGGCGTTAAAAGGAGTGAAAGCGCTGAAAGAAAATCTTGGACCACCTGAGATATGGAAAGTTTTAATGCCAAACACTTGACTTACATTGACTTACTGTACAATGTTCTAACTCAGTACATTTTCCTGGTGGAGTGACGTCTTCCCACCTTGTCCAGGGGCATCTTACACCTCTCCGCAGTCTTGTAGAGGATTCGCAAGAGGCTCCGGTGATAAGGGCGGCTGAGATCCAAGACATACCTGGCCGTTGCGAGGCTTCTTGGCAAACATGTTTTAGGATGTCCAAGGTTCATCTTTATGATAATCCGATTCTTCTATCTATCTTGGGAATATCCCATGACCAGTAACATGACGCCTATTAAAGGCCCTTTTTTCAAACATTGTGATCATTTGTTGCCGACTGTTACTCGCAATGGGACAATGGGACACACCCTGTATCTATAGACTATAGAGTCTAGAGGTCGGCTGAGTCAGCGAGTCGCCACCTTGCGTGGATTCCGTCTGCTTCAGCACCCCCCCAAACCAGTCGACCAGGCTGAAAATGGGGGTGGACAGGTGGACAAATCAAAGTCTGCCCAAAGAGGCTGTCAAGTGTGCGATAGACCAAATGCACACATACACGCGCGCACACACACACACAAAACCCCGACTGCACATGCCCCCCAACAAAAATGCAACGTGTCATGTTTGAGACCCCTTGATAGAAGAATCCAGTGCATCCGCACAGCCCGGGCAGCTTCAGGAATACCAATCTGTTTTCGACTACAAAATCTTGGTGGCCCGGGCTGTGCATCAAGTGAAGACGAGCGGCATCGTCTGCTGAAGTGGCCCCCATGTTCTGATGCAGACCAGATCCTGTGTCACCCATGGAGATATCCAATTATCACTCATGGAGATTCTTCTACAGGAACATGGGTGCTTCCGAAACAAATGGATTTTCAGACTTTCTTGTCAACGAAGTCCTCAGAATCATCACTCCCCTCCAGAACAGGCTTTTCCTGGGACCTGAGGCAGCCGAAGCACTTGCTGCCCGGGTTGGTGAAGGAGTAGACGGAACAACCTGAACCGGCCGAACAATAGGTATCGATGGCGGTCCAATTTGGCAACGACTGGTGGGGATTTCTATATCGAACGCGTTCAAAGGAAACACGCAGGCGCAAAACGGCCTACTATATAGCAGCTTGATAGTCTAGTCACCCTTGCTTGAGGATGTGAAGCGCAAGCAACACCTTGTCCTCGACATACTACGGCCAGCTAGCCAGAAGTGAGAAACGTTCGAGGCCATACGCTTCTTCCAGAGTCAGCGGCTTGAAAGGTAAACCCATCAGTATAGTAGTACGGCTGCCGTGTACAATTGTTTGTGCAGCACCACAAATGGCTAAAGTTCAAAGCTGAATTCCGTGACGCCGACGTTTGACCTGCAGGGTTCTACAAAAGGGATCGGCCTCAACATGAGAAACCCAACTAATTGACCCAAGCCGTAACTGATTGGTGCTTTAAACTGACTTGACAAATATTACTATGTGGGTTCAAGCAAAGATATCCCAAGATACCGCAAGTAAACATAAAGTTAACGGTGGAAAAAAGTACAGTAAAATATCTGAAACCACCACCCAGACAAGAAACCAATCCCACTGACCAAAGTTGAACCACAATTTGACATAGTTTGACAATATGTGAGACAATGTATTTCACCTGCAAGATGTGCGAGGGCCAGCTTAGGTGTTTCTCATGTACCATGCTCCTAAAGAACAACCCACTTGTGTTATGAGGTATTCCGTGGCAGGAGGCAGTGTTACACAGCCTCCTGGCAAACCAATCTCCTACTACGGAACTAAGCTAACCCACCCAGTGACAGTTGGACATGGCGATTAAAAAAACATGTCCCAAGTCCGAAGAGTTGTCCCACCCCATTGGCTCAGCCATTGGCTCATGTCTTGCATGTCTCTCGTCGACACCACCCGTCTGCCTTCAGCATCTTCATCCGCCATCCCACTGATGCCTTGATAACCTGCGCGACCCGTCTGACTCGGCGCGGCACTCGGCCCGCTGCGGCCGTCGAGGCACGGTCTCGTCTGGCGCAGACCATGCAGACCGGGCGTTCCCACCGTGAAGCGATCTGGAAGACTCTGCTGGGTCCGAGCCAAGGTGCTTGGGCAACCGGTGTCTCCCCATCTGTTCGCTCAAACATCCCCGAACCCAAACGGTGAGAGCCCCAACGAGCGCGGTCACCGCTCCGAACCCCCTTGGACTCCAGCAGGTCGACTGCACCGCTGACGGGTCGCGTTACGCGACGCGTTAGAAAGAAATGAAACCTTCAGGCACATGCAAAAGCAAAACCATCCCGAACCCCAAAAAGAGGTTCACAAGTTATCCACTCACTGTAGGTCAAAAATATTAGTATAATGCATATATATATATGCTTAAGATTATTTGAGGGTGTCGCGGGTCTGCTGGTGTCCAGAGACCAGCCCCCTGAGCTCCCTGCACGCATGGTGTTGCCATGTGCTATCTGTCTATCTGTCAAATGGCGCCGGCACGTTTGGCAACTAGTGCCGAAAGCAGGAAATGACCATCATAGTAATTATGACACAATGGCCAATTAGAGTGCCACTGGGTCCTGTCAACGCCTTTGCTTGGAGACACGCTGGTGTAGCCGCTGGCAAGGCAATGGAAAGGACCCTTTCAAGACTCAAGACCAACCTCCTGCAAAACATGGATCTTGTCAGTGACGTACTTCTCGGAAGAATAGAGGGGTCGCTTTGGTACCATCATGTACCATCTACCTAGTGGTTGTGCACTTGAGGGTGCCCACTCTATCAATCAACTGTACAGTAACCAATAGTAAGTTAGGCCGTCCGTGGAGTCCGTGGATCTTATTCCTCGTGCCACATCCAAAGTAGGGGGGGTAGGAAGCTACTAGGAACAAGTGCATCGCTACTAGTAACAAGTGCCTTACTAGTAGTAACAATGTTTGCTATTAGAAACAAGTGCCCTACTACTAGTAACAATAAGAATTTAATTAGAATTGTAATTACTAGCATGTGGTCCACAACCTTTGCACACATCCCTTCGTGCAACTCAAGAACAGCCATCCGATTGGAAGTGCTTCAATGCATTCTGCTGCCGCGAGAGCAGCCGAAGGAGGCTGCGCATGCCCAGGGCTCCCAGTGGGTTGTCGGTCATATTCAGGTCCTGATTCCGCTCCGCTGGGCGCAGTTGGGTTCCCAAGAGCCTTCTGGGTCCATGCTCCATCAGCCCTCCGCCCTCACCAAAAGGTGTGGGCGCGTTGCAGGTCCACCTTTGCAGTCTTCACGAGCAAAGAACAAGGTCAGAGTTCACAACCCCAATCGCAAGTTTTGCGGGTCATGGGCGTGTGCAATCTACATCCATCTACTACTGTTACCGCTTTTTCTTCCTACCGTTTTTCTTCCCGAGGTGTCGCAATGGCTCCAACTGCACGCGGCTGGCTCTCCTTGAGGGTGGGATGCATGTCCAGGGCATCTTCGATGACCTTGCCATGTGCGACGGGGTCCCCGTTAAGCTGCTCAGTGACATGGAGTAGACTCACAAAGCGATGTAAGGACAACAAACCGGATTCGAGAGCTTCAGATACTGCCATATATATAATATATATTATAGATATTAATTTTATCTAATATATATATATATATAACAAAATATACTGTATATATATATAGTGTGCGTAGATTGAGGATGGCTAAGGTGACTTCAGGATTCCAAGTATGCAAAGGATTCCAGCCCAATGCTATGTAAGGGCTGCACATGACCCCTCCTGCCATCAAATGACAGTTTTTTTTGAACAGGTGCATCACCAAGCAACATCAAGAAATGACGGTCTTTTTCTTGGGCAGCCCCAACGCCCGCGGTCCCCCGAACTCACACGGACCGGAAGTGCAGTAAGTTCACCGAGTTCACGCCCATTGTTTGTATGAAAAACGTGGTCTTCCGAGTCACCGGGCTCACGCCATCCACTTCCACACCATGCTCGGAACCCGCCCCTTCGGCCCCTTCGGGGCCCGCAGTCGCGTCCCAGGCGCCAAGGCTGCGCGGAAGTCCACCCGGTTGGCGACGAGGCTCAGCTTCTTCAGGCTCTTGTCCCGCGCCAAGCCTCATGGGGCGGGTTCTGGAACGAGTCTTGGGTGGTTTGGGGGGGCACACTGCACCACATCCTCTGAACTCGGACGCTGGGATTGCCGTGAGAGTTGGAAAGGCTGATTTATCATCCTTCACCATCATCATTCCAATGCCTTCAAACTCCACAAGCTTCGATGCGATTGCTTACTGCACCTCTGTCTAAGCAAACTCCTGGGTCCCCACCTTGGCCATTCATTTCTGCTATACCTTTATCTTTTACAAACTAAAGTTCTCATTTCCCTGACCTGGGGACAAATGAAGGATTCTGCTGTCCAACCACATACATCTTTCGAACCTCTCAGATCTACAAATCTATAAACAAATATAGTCACATTTATCACATGTGTCTATTATATATAAAATATATTTATATATATGATAAATTACTAACTATTCAGTTGACGTTTTGTTTGTGCCCTCATGTGCACTCCCACCTTCGCCACTTCGCCCACACTGAGCCCCCCCCAGTGGCCTTCCAGAAGCTCGGCCACAGGGCTGTCACGACCAATGACGTAGGCGGCACCTGAAGGACATGCCCCCGCTCACCCAGTGGGATTCCCTCCAGTGTCCCGAAAGCAACATCAAACGTCAACCGAACGGTCCACCGGTTCGTTGTGTCGGCAAAGCCGGTCCGATGGCCGGTGATGCACTGAGTGGGTCGGGACCGTCGCTGCTTCTGGTGGACACTGACATGAAGGGCTGCGCCCTCAATAAATTACAAAGCAAGTCTCGACCCCGGCATGACCTGGCGAAACGCAGTGGGTGCCTGCTTCTTCTCCCCCAACTACCTAAGGAAAACATGGAGGCACTGGATGTCTACAAATATCAACAAATCGCCTGTGGTGAAAACGGTGGACATCGGCAACGGAATGAAAAAGAATGAACAACGTTTACTAAGTGGAGAACCCAACATATGCGAGATCCATTGGAACCAACAGTCCTGGACCCCCAAAAACCATCTCCTCAAATCGACCAAAACTACACGGACCTCTGAACAAATCGACCCTCCGACTCCCATCAGTCGAAACCGACCAGGCTGCAATAGTCCACGCCCAGCTCCTCGATCTCTGTGGCCTGCAGCGAGATCGAGGGGGAGAGCGCTGAGGAACCGGATCGGTTCCGGTGTGAATGGTGCGGGATCAATTGAGGGTTTCAGGTGCCTGATGGTTGGTCAAATGCAAACCATGTAGTAACATGATGCAACATGTGATCCAATTGGTGGAGAGAAGATGTGCTAAGGCCATGTTCTTGTGGGGGAGCCTGATTTTGAGACAGAACAGTACTCAGAACAGTTACTGTACTTTGATTTATTTTGTGCCACACTGTGCTGGGTCTTTAACTTTCCAAGTGACGTGGATGATGGCGTTGGTATGGGTCCAACTCCCAAAAGAATGCACAGTATGCAGCCTTTCCAACTTCATTTAGGTCGACTACCCCTGGGCGTAGCACGGATTACAAACATCCAGAATTCATCACCTGCCCAAGTTCTTGACGAAGCTCAATAAGTGTCAGTAGGACACTTTGGACACGACAGTGCCAACTTGGAAGGTAAACTCGTCAGCTGTTCTCGGTGAAATGCACAAAAATATACATATATTATATATAACTATATAATAAATATACAACACAATTTTCATTATTTCGAGAGGTTACTGTGGTGTAGGTGACACTCAAACCAAATGACAGAATGAGGTTGCTTGGACGGCTTGCTGGAGCAAGCCATACTCCCAAAAAAATAATGCAAGCATACATTAACTGACATGGCTGTTCCGGCCTCAATCAGGACCCCCATCTGTGTGAACTGCTCGTGGTTGAACCGGTTCCAGCTGAGGTCCAACTTCCTCAGCATCCAACCAACGTCATCTCAGCTGATGCACGATGCCACGAGGAGCGATTCCCACACCATGGAAGAACGGGGTGGTGACCCCCCGCTTGTGTGACGTTCAAGACGTTTGGCAGGGTCGCGCCGTTTGAAGCGACCGATGGCCCATTTGTGGTACGTGGTCTTGGGTCAACCAGCCTTCAAACAAGAGAGCCTCGGACGTTTTGTCACAGTTCGACTCGGGGTGTTTGGACCGCCCCCAAGAGACCTTGAGGAATACAGGGCTGAAAGACTCCCAACCGGTGGAGCTTTTTCAGCCCGCCCCGCGCCGCGCCACGCCGCTTGAGTGAAGGGCGGGGCGCCCAATGTCAAGACCGGGGGAGAAAGGCGACGAGAACCAACTGAGCCAACCTTTGTCATTTCCAAGGTATGAGCATATTTCGACGTCGCGCGGCACGACCCGCGACGGGTTTGACCTATTTCGGGATCAAGTCTCTGCAAGCGAACATTGAGGAAGAGATTGGAGAGACAAAGCCCACTCAGCCCGTTCTTGCCGAGTCCTGACACAGTTTATGATGACATTAATGATCACCTCCACACCCCGTGACTTTTGGCACAAAACGATTCGCTGACAGATGTTGTCACCTGACATCTCAGTCTGCTCCTGTACCACAAAGGCTGACGTCTCGGATGTTCTTGTGCTCACCGATGGCTTTGCCTTATCCAAAGCCCAAGAGGGGTTAACCAGGAGGCCAAGCAACAGGCGAACGGACGCTAAGTACTGCCAGCGTGGGAGTGGAAAAAAAAGTCGAACCCCTTCAAAACAACACGTTGAATTTCAAGGACACTTGCTTCCAATTCAGCTAAAAACCTTATAAGGAAGCCATCAACAAGCAACGTATCTACATGCAACCATCCACCAACCAGGCCCACACATGTGGTGCCAGTGCTTAGCTAGATCCTCGACCCTCTAATAGAGCCTCCTTTGCGCCACCATCAGCCAGTTTGTGTGTCGGTCTTTCAAGGTTTCTTGGCTGAGGTGGGGATGTCATTTCCTTGCATTCGTGTCTTGTAGTGCTTGATGTAGGCATAGGCTCAAACACAGACACACCGTAAATATATATATATATATAAACGGTGTTTGTTGGAATATACGGTTGTTCTGTTCAGAATGTTATATACCTGTTACCAGCAGATGCCTGGAAGCAAAGGATGAAGGCAAAGTACATGAAGGCACATCATGCAAGACAGAAAGCAAAGTGACAAGCACCATCATTTGCACCATGGAAAAGGCCATGCAAAAGTGACATTGCTGCTACACCATATGCACGGTGCAGAAAACGCTACGCTCGCTTTTTATGGGCGCAGCATAACACCCGTTTCGGTGCGAAGCCACTGGATCTGCAAATCGTGTTCTTCCGGACGACGCACCTCACTTGTGTCTAATAGCTTTTTGTTACTACTAGTAAGGCACTTGTTACTACTAGCGAGGC